GGCAAACATGGTTTTCTTTCCCTTTCACCAAAAAACCTCTAGGCTGTTCCATATAATATATTCTTAGAGATCACCATGAAGAAATTCCATCTTGACATCAATTTGATCCACTTCTAAGTCAAGACAAACAACCAAACTCAAGATAACACGAATAGAAGTCATCTTGACAACCAATGAAAAAATCTCCTCAAAATCAACACCATGTTTTCTACTAAAGCCCTTCACAACAAGCCTAGCTTTATATCGAAGAGAGGATGAGTGTTCTTCATACTTCACCTTATAGATCCACCTATTTTTCAAGGCCCTTCTATCTCTTGGAAACTCAATCAATTCAACGTGTCATTAGCACGTAGGGATTGCATTTAATCCTTCATAGCAACAATTCACATTTCTTTTTCAGGACTCTAGACGGCTTCTTCATAATCCTCAGGCTCTCAATTCTCGATTAAAAGCATATACTCCGTAGATGAATACCTAGTGGAGGGTTGTCTATTCCGGGTAGACCTTCTCAATGAAGATTATGCCATATCCATCGAACTCTCAGAATAATCCGGACCAACATCAACATCATCAATGACATCATCATCGATAGACTAATTTTCATCACCACCCACTTTTGGTGTTAAAACTCGATCCGAATGAATCAAGTCTTTATTTTGAATATTTGGTTTATGATTCATCTCAATGTCCTCAATTGTTTGATCCTCCATGAATACAACATCACGGCTTCTAACAAGCTTTTTCTCAACAGGATCGTAACACCTATAGCCAGATTCATCATCACCATAGCCAATGAAAATGTATTGTCGAGCCTTAGCATCCAACTTGGATCGCTCATCCTTAGGTACATGAACAAAATACTTGCATCCAAAAACTCTGAGGTGGTCATAAGATACTTTTCTTCCGTACCAAACTCTGTGAGGAACATTTGTCTCCAAGGCCACTGTAGGATTTGGGTTAATAATGTGAGCAATTACATATAAAGCTTCACCCCAGAAATATTGAGGCAATTTCGCATCCGAAAGCACACATCTGACTCTCTCCATTAATGTTCTATTCATCATTTATGCCAAGACATTTAATTGCGGAGTTTTAGAAGACATTTTTTTTATGCCGAATACCATGCTTCGACAATAAGCATCAAATGGTCCACGATATTCGCCTCAATTCTTAGTCGTGATGCACTTCAATTTCTTACTTGTTTCTCTCTCAACAGAAACATAGAACTCAACAAAAGCATCAAAAACCTGATCGTTCGATTTCAACACTCGAACCCATAATTTTCTTGAGTGATCATCAATAAAGGTAACAAAATATACTGCACCTCCGAAGAACTTTACCTTCAAAGGACCACACATATCTGAATGGATCAATTCAAGAATATTTCTCTTCCTCGTAGGAGGGTGATGAACAAAGGAAATCCGTCTTTGCTTTCCTACAAGGCATTGTGAACACTTATCAACCTGAGCACGTCTAACACCAGGGACTAGGTTTTTTCTTTGCCAAAGTATCAAACCATTTCTCACTAATGTGACTCAATCTCCTATGCCATAAGCTCGAATAACTCCTATTCTGAAATGCATTAAGATCATTTGAAGAAATAATAGCATAAGATCAATATAAACTATATTTTTTTTCTTACCCTGAGCAATTACCATAAAACCTTTGGTAATCTTTCATATTCCATCACCAAAATGGTAGGAATGTCCATCATCATCTAGCTAACCAATGGAAATTATATGCATTCGAACATTGGGAGCATGTCTTACATCATTTAGCACTAGTATGTATCCACTACTAGTATCCAAACATAGTGTTCTTGTATCTACTACTTTCGCCAAACCATTGTTTCTTATCTTTAAGACTCCAAAGTCTCCCGGAGTATATGATGTGAAGAAATTTCTATTGGCAGTCACATGAAATGCAACTTCACTATCCACAACCCAACTAGTCTCAGTTTGGGTCATATTAATTTCCTTTTCCTCACACACAACAACGAGATCCTCCAGTATTGTCGTATTTACACGATCATTGCTCCTATTATCATCTTTCTGCTCATACTTATTGTCCTTGTCTTTCTGCTCATTTTTCAACTTAAAACAATACCTTCTAACGTGTCCCTGTTTTCCACAATGATGACACTCAAGGTCTTTGTATTTTGGCTTTGAATTACTCTTTCCTTGGTTTTTTTCTCGATTCCCATTATCTCAGCCTACATTCCGACTTCTCTCTCTATTATTCGTACTTAGGATCTCCGAATAAGAAGATGAAGTGCCAAGAGTCTTCATTCTCACCTCTTCATTCAAAGTGGCACTTTTGAGTATTAAATAGCCACAAACCAAGTACCTCATCATCAAACTTCACTCCCATGCCTAAAAGTTGATCGAAGCATCCTTGAAACACATTTATATGGTCGGAAATAGACTTGCTCTCATGATAACTCAATCGCATAACCTGATTGAGTAGAAACAACTTATTGTTGCCAGTCTTCAAAGCATATAAACTTTATAGCTTGTCTCATAATCTTTTGGCAATGGTCTCATTCACAATGTGATTCAAAACATTGTCTTCTACCTATTGCCTTATGAAACCGCATACTTGTCGATGCTCCAATTCCCCAATCTGCATCAGGTATTTTTAACATCATACTTTGTCGCAGAAAACACTAGCTCATGTAACTTCTTCTCGTATAGAAGATCAGTTATCTTTCCATAGGTTATTCCATCTAAGCAAACCATCATTCCCAAGTTCACATCCATCCTTCAATGGTGAATAACACTTCCAAACAACCTTGCTCTGATACCACTTTGTGTTAGGAGAATACCGGAAGAAGAAGAAAATGCAAACAAAAAATCATATGTGGATGTACTCTTAAGCGTGGTCACGCCTAAAAACAGATGAAGGCATGGAGTTTAGGTGTGGCTGTGCGTGATCACACCTAAGCAGGGTGTTCAAACTGTCCCCTTAAACTCTTTCACTTCATTCAATTATTCTTTCCACCAATATACGAGGGATGATAACCGCAAATAAACCACAAAAAGAACAATATGAGACACCAACACTTTTAACGTGGAAAACTCTTTCAAAATGAAGGATAAAAACCACGAGGCCTATCACCCAACCCAAGGACAAAATCCACTATATCAAAAATTCCATACAATCAAAGATAGCCACAACCAAAAAAGGCTATCAAACTCCAAACCCAATTACAAGAATCGAACCCCAATAACACGACGTCTCCCAACTACAAAGAACCTATTCCAATCACCAACCAACAAGATTCAAAATTGAATCCAAATAAGTAAATAGTGAGAAATCAACGATACCAAGAAGAACATCCAAGGACAATGAGACCGTTGATCGGAACCGAGTTGAAGAAATTCTCTCTTGGTTGTCGATTCTTTCGCATGCGTGGATAACGATTGTCCCTCTATCAATCTCTCCTCCCAAAATTGATCTCACTTCCAACTATAAGGGCTAGGGCAATAATTAGCAAAAATGATTCTTAATTCTTTTGTGCTAACATGAATTGTTGAGCCTCTTACACATAGGAGGACCGCAAACCCAACAAGATACACACACTTGGTAGGCAACAATCAAAAATAAAATTTAAACATAGATGTTCTCGATACAAATCAAATAATTTGAGAAGGAAAATGCAAAAATGAACATGTATAGATAGGTACGAGTGTATAGATAGTTTTACCATTTAAAGAGTAATCATCAAATGAATCTATAACAATCACCTTAGTTCACTATTGTTCCTGTATGTATTTCAAAATCAAATCAAATCAAATACCAAGAAAAAACCTAATGTTAATGGAATGTTCATGTTCACACAAAATTGGAGGCATGTTTGATTTACCTTTTCCAAGCTTCGAGACAGAGACTGAACCATAGCCATGAGAACCAGCTTCGAGAGGCTTTTAAAGGATGATCACTAATGGAAAATTGGGCAGAAAATGAAATAGGATTTCATGTGAACAATTTTTTCATTTTAAAAAAAATAATTTTATAGGAATGGCGCGACCAACCACACCTCCTTTTCTATATTTAAAAATTATTTTATAAGAGAGGAGCGAATAACCGTGTCTCCTTTTTAATTTAGAAAAATAATTTTTAAAAAAAGTAATATTACAAAGTGGCACCACAAACAATGCCCTTGTTTATTTTTTAAAAAATAATTTTTTACTATAGGTGTGACAAACGGCACCTCTTTTTTTTATTTTTAAAGATTCTTTTATAATAGAGGCGCAAACAAGCTCGCATCCTCTTTATTTTTTGAAAATAATATTTTAGTAGTGATGCAAAGAAACCTCCTTTTTTTTACTTTTTAAAAATGATTTCTTAGACCTTTCCCTATGATTTTTTATTTTGTGTATATAATTGTAAAGTAGAGGCATGGTTGTTTGCGCCTCTCCAACCGACCTAAACACAATAATGATTTTTCATTTTTAAATATTTGATTTAGAATAACCAACTGTGATGAAGCAAATAAACAAACAAACAATTATACTTCCTCCCAAACAAAAATCAAGACATCAACTCCGGAGCATATCAAAGATCAAATATTTCCATATCAACATATAACTCTTAGTTCTTTTATATATATAGACAATCAGGAAGGAAAACGAGGATATGGAGTCAATCATGTGTCTAGTCCTTAGTTGATGAATAAGTAAAATAGAACTAAATTGAAATAATAAGTATTTTTTTATATAGAAAATAATTAGGTGTGGTTTTCTGCGCGAAAAAGTATATATATATTTACGTTTGGCGCCAACATCAGCAATAACTGATGCCTGCAAATTTCAGAAATTTCACTGCAATTTATTTATTTACATATTTGCTTTACATTTTTAATATAGTATTATCTTATAAAAATTATTTTAATTTTGTGCAAGAGATATCGTTCCATATTAATTACTGTCAATTTTAGTATATTTGCATGGCTTTGGTGTGGAAAGCAATGCTAATATACTGAAATTGTCATCAACTTAACACCAAATATTTCACGTCAAAATGACTTTTTACAGGACAGTCTAGAAAATTTATCTATCCACACAGCCAAGAAATATCTGCATCTGTCATAGTAATAACTGATCTCTGCATATTCTTATTACATTTTATAGTTTTAATTAAATAAATAGGAGGTAAAGTTACAAACTCAGCTTATTAATTAGAGGGAATTTGAGTCTGTAGTAAGCTGGAATAGTAGCAAGGAAGAACATTTCTCTAACTCCTTCTGCGTTTATAATTGGTAATATAATTCCACCTGCAACCTGTATATGCATGTAAACATTATTAATTAGGTTGTAATAGATAAGGATAGATTGATTAATATCTAAATTTCGACGCGGCTACAGTTCCAATTAAATATAATCAACACGGTGCTGATAACAAAATAATATTATATATATATATATATTAAACAATACATTAAATATAAATTTATAGCACACATATAAAATAGACCCCACAATATATATATATATATATACTAATACTTTATACAATATGTATTGTCTGTTATATTTTCGAATGTTATCAATGCTAAATTTAGATAAATAGAAAAAGGGAGTTACCCAAATAAATTTGACGCCTAACCAAGCTCTTTCCGGAGTAGGAAAGGGAAGTAGAAATCTCCCAACACCAAGCAAACCCATAGCAAAGAAATGCAGAAACATTAAGCTCACCGGCCTCGGATTTAATCCCGACACCACAGAAATAATACTGCTGGAGAAAATGCCACCGAGGCTTAGGTAGTCGAACAAAGCCTGCTGCACTTCTTGCTTTACTGGATCAGACGACATGCTGACTATCTTGTAAAGTGCATCAGCAAGTATGTTTATTGTCGATGCCAGCGGCTGCAAATCAAAATTAAATTTCCATATTGTGTTTGCACATAAATTGATTGAATTCAATTGGTAATTGTGTTGGTTTCATTCAACTTACTTTTCTCAGGATATAGAAGGAGTCGAGATACTTGCAAAGTGTAGCTGAGTCGCTTAAATCACGCACGTTTCTGAGAACATTGCGGAGGACAACAATGTCGGAGAGGGCGACAGTCATTCCTCCTGCAGTTACAGGTTGGCGCATGTTGAAAGCGTCGCCAATCAGAAGCACGCCGGGAGGGGGATGAGGATTTGCCGGCATGCTTCTGGTGGTCATCGTTCTTATGTTTCGTTTCTCGATTGCTGCTATGAATGATTCATATAGCTGAGGAGGAATCTGAAAAAGGGAGTGAGTGTAGTTTAGTCAGGTTATCACTAGAAAGAGCTGCAAATTAAGCAAATGAATTGACTTAAATTTGTGGTATATATATAAATTAACTTGTTTGAATTCAGTAACAGATCAGCTAGAAAAGGTTTGGGAAAAGTATCTATTTTGCTACAGAGATAAATATATCATTTTCATATATGTGGTAGGAGGGCAGCTGTTACATTGCTGATTTGAAAACATTGACTAAGATTCTAGAAAACACCGTAATTCCAGATAATAAATCATTTATATTAATATTTTACAAAATAGAGTACATGACATATTTTTATAAAGAAATGACACTGTAATAATTTTTTCGAATAATATCAATAAGGGTCCATGAAACATCGATCAAGAGTGTAGAAAGCATGTGGTATATTTAAAACTTGTGCTATCTGGACTATTGATCGATATTTTTTGGACTTCTAATGGATACTCTCTAAGCGTTGAGTGTTACTGTCTGAAAAAAAATCTGTCACGGTACTGATTTATATATTTATTTATATTCATCTTGTCAACGGCTCTAGTAAATGCAAAGGAGCTAGGTGAATCCATAGAGTAGAAGAGCAAAGTGAGTGATTTTGGAAACACATATAGTTATGAATATGAATAGTACCTGAGGAGCCACAACTGTCTTGAGATAAATGGCCATTTGGTCTTTGGCAGTTGAAGGAACCTTTTGTCTGGGAACATCTACAATACACCGAACTTCTCTACTGCTGATAGGATAAAATATCATCGAAGATGGATCAGCAAAAATAAGATGCCCATAATTTGCATAGGGAAGTTGGCAATTCTCCAGGACCAGACCGACGAACCAGGAAGACGAGTCTACCTGGATAAATCATGGAACAAACATTATAATTAAACAGTTTATTTCGATATATATTAAGAATTCTAGACATAAAGATGACGTCGGAATTAATTCCTAGACACTACTAGTTAAATTTTGTTAAGGTATATATATATTGTATTACAGTCATGACCTGGGAAGTGCAGAGTGATCTACTCAAGTTGGCAAAGCCTCCATCACAAACAACAGTGAGAGGAGCAAAAGATGTTCTTTCTTCCCCATTCTTCGTCTTGTACCTCACTCCTCGAATTATTCCCTTTTCCGAAACCAAGGATGTCACTGCTCCTTGTTCAAGCCTTACACTATATATATATCCATATATATATAAGAATGTGTTTTGAAATAAAGAAGAATGTTTCGAAAATATGAAATTATATACTACTTGGGAAGTGTCGATGCTTTGTGTCTCATGTTTTGTATGAAGCGGCCATTGTGAAAGCTTCTTCCAGAGACATCTGAAGGGAAATTGTCCAAGGGATATGGTATTTTAACATTCTTACCATCCTTGTAAAAGGCAAATCCCAAAACTTGTTGAGCATCTATGTCTTCCAAGCAATCTGCACTCAGTAATAATTTTCATTTACATCGGAACTAATCAAAAACAGAAAGACAGCCATACTCTGTCATCATATATATATATGTTTGTTTGCTATATTTTACCTTGGAGACCTAACTCAGTTAATCTCAAATATCCTCCAGGATGTAGCAGCTCACCAACAAAGCGATCCGGCTCTGTTAAATCCCTCTCGATGATATGAACTTCACGTCCGTCCTGCACTTACATACGAATAGGCCAGACTACAAATCTTCTACCACTTAACACTAATTCAAAATTGCTCAAAACTTCCTCTTACTTCCAATGAATAAATGGCAAATCTATTACGGCGCCAACTCTAAACTTGGAAAATTATAAAGAACAGCAAGCAAACCAACAAAGCTCCAGCTACAAAACATGTCCTAATTCTGTAGTAATTGTGTATATATATATATATATATTCGCTAATGATTTATCGCAGTTTGCCCATATGTAAGGCAGACATTACATAAATGATACTTCTACTACATTATAATAATACAAGATACTGTACATATTATGCAGGCCGTTTCGGATATTTTTAAGGCTCTGAGCAAAAAATAAATAATAGGCCTATAAACAAATAATTCTTTTCCCTAGTGTGAAGTAGATTGCCAGGCCTGTTTGGATACATATCCTGACTATTATAACATTTCACAATATCTTCACTAAAAATTATATGATTATTTTTTTTTTTTTTTAAATCTGGTTAGAATTTATTATAATTATAATTGGATTTAAGATTAATTTTAAAAAAATTATAGTTATAGTTTATTAGAATTAGAATTGGATAATTGTAGAGAAAAACATGAGATAAAATTTAAATTAAATTAAATTTTATTATATCTAATAATAGTAGTGGGCTTTAAAAATATTTACGAATTCTAAGGCAAACTAAAAAATATGGGCCGGCCGAACCTAATAACCTGTAAATCAGGCTCAACGGAAAAGTCACGCTGCGAACCATGTGTGGTAGGTCACAAGTCCAACCCCTACACGACTAGGTCATCCCTTACGGGACTAGTACATTATACTTAGCTTGGAGTAATGAAGTCCATTAACTAAAAGAAATTACTCCGTGTGTGTTTGTTTGAAGAATTTTAGTAGATTTCTATTATTCACATACTTTTTTTCCTTAAAAAATATCAAATCAAACACTTATTTTTCATTTTTTATATTATACTAAAATCAATTTTATATTCAAAATATCACATCAATCTATATTTATATCACATCATACGACTATTCCGATTCAAATTTTTTACTACTCAATTTTTACTAGTACTACTACCTTAATTACCTTACCTTGCCTAGCGCATAGGCGAGCGCGGCTCCAGCTACACCGGCACCCACGACAATAACATCAGTCGTTTCAGGGGCGGCGCTGCACTTGATCCTCAAACCGGCAGAGCTCTTGATGACACAGTACTCATTTCTACTTAAGGCCTTGAAATTGATCGTTATCCTTTTCTCCCTTCGAATATCGCAATGCAACACAGATCCAAACAACGGGGAAATGAAATCGCCGGCATTAATCACCATCATTTTTTCAGTCAGTCGATCGTTGGATTCGTCGTGGTTAGAATTGGCATAGCGGCTTTATATATATATATATATATAGGGACACTGTGAACTGAATTTGCTTCGACTTCCTTCTCAATAATTAACTGCGCCTTCACGTTAGGCTCGTTAATTAAACAATTATGCTATATACAGTGCAGTGCAGAGCACTCTTCGCTATATATGGTGCCAAAATTAGACAGGAATAAATATTACTTGATCATGTTAAATTATCTTACTTAAAACTTAAGCTAGTAGATATTATTTATGTATAAATATATATGACAAAATTTTTTTATATAAAATTATATATGTTAAAATATTTTATTTTTCATATGATAGGCAAAAAGTTCTATGTTATTGATGAATATATATTGAATGCAACTTTAAGATATAATTTATAAAAGAACAACCACAATTATATGAAAAATTAAATTAAAAAAATATTTTGATATTAAATTTAAATCAATATATATTAATTTATTAAAAATATTATCTTTTTAAAATATTTTATTTTATTTTTTCTATTATAAAAAGATTAATACTTATTTAAATATATATATATATATAATTGTTTGATAGTGTGGGGAGTAAATTTGTGACTATAAGTTCATGAGTATATATATATATATATTTTAGGTGTCTGGGTGTGAAGGTCACAAGTCCACTTCCTACCCACCAGGCAATATATATATATTTGTAAATATATGAATATGCACACAACTATAAGAGAAAAATATCAAATTGAACAAAAATTTCATTTGAATATGCATTAATTAAATTGCATATTGGAACAAGTTTTGAATATGGTCCTTAAAATTCTTAAATGGCATGCCTTCAATTAAAGATTGACAATTATCAAATACGTGCTAATGTGTTTCCAAGCCGTGTCGTTTTGACTAGAAGATAAATCTTGTTTATTTGTACAATCAAATATATACAAACTAAGATTTTTACCATTAAACCATGTTTTAATTTGGATATTTATTTAAAACATTAATGTATATATAATTTTTTTAAAATCTAAATATTTATTTTAAAAATTTGGCCGAGCCAGGCACGGCCTAACCTTCATAAGCGCAGGCAAAGTCCGATTCATTAGCGTTCCGGGCCAGGCACTGTCTGAAAATTTTCAGGCTTATTTTTATAAGCCCAATAATGATTTTTTTTTTTTTTTTCTGCAGTGCTCGAACCGAGCTTTCGGACCGTGCTTATTTTTGTCACCCTGCTTGAAAATACTTTATTATTCCACAAAGCATGGATCTAGGTCTTAGTCCACTTTATGTGTATATATAAATAGTAGTCACCATCCTATCAAACTTACTTATCTTAATTATTTTCAACATTATTTATCTACTTCAACTTAAAAATATAAAGTGCTTCCAAAGCTTCATATTTCAAATGAAGTGAATAGAGAACATTTCATGAATAATCATCAATGAATGTGATAAAATACTCAGACTACTTGCACTTGTGTTTGAATAACAAATGTCTATATGAATGGTCCGGTTATGCTCCTGAGATTGGGAAGATCAAACAGATTTTACATAATAATTAGGGCATCGATTCAATTGTGCATAATTTAAGGATTGCATATATATATAGATTTAGAATTTATGCAGTATCTCCTTATTCTCAATTAAATCATTTCACATAAAAAAAAAAAAAAAAAAGAAGAAAACTCTACCTTCTCTGTCGACATCGATCAAAGAAAAAAGTATACTAGTAAAATAAGATCGTCGAATGTTTTGGAACAAAATGGGGAGCATTCCGGTGAGGTTCAATACGCTGTGAACGAAGATAATATTTAAGAAATTCTAGAACACGGTAAGATTTTTACAATTGTGAAAGTAATTTAAAGTCGAATTTATATTATATCATATTTCAACTATATGGACATCATCTTTCATATAAACATATAGAATTTCTATATTAGTGATTTAACATATGAGATGTCGTATTGGGAAATATTGAAATAGTGCGAAAAATGTTTGTACTTGTGAAATCCATAATATATTGTGCTATTTTAAACTTACTATAGTTAGCATACAAAAGAACTGTGAAGATATTCAAAAATACAAAATGACCAATATTATTTTCTTGGAACGATTTAAAGATTTTCAATCTTAAAAAAATTACGTAAATATTTTCTAATAATTAAATTCTCAATAAAATTTAATTGCTAATTTTGAAACCATAATTTAAACCAATTTTATTAATAAGGTAATGAGCATCAAATTATAAAAATGTTGAGCTATTTATAATTAAAACTAATTTGTTTTTAAATTAAGGGGATGTACAAAAATCATTGAGCATTAATTTGAGTTTCCAAATCAAATAAAATCAGATTTATTTATTTTCTCAAGATTATAACACCAATAATATGTATAAAATAATTATTCCGCCTTATATAGGAAAAAAATGAACTATACAATGTTCACACTCAAACAACAACATTATGGTATATTCCGTACATCATATGATATTACTGAAAATAACATATTTGATTACGACGTATGTCATTTGCTTCCCCAAGTGCCGATGGGCAAATTAAAAAAAGGTAAAAAAAAATGATCTCCAACATGATCTAATATCAAATGCTAAAATATTCATAACATATACCAAAAATAAATGCAACGAAAACATAAAATTATAGAACTCAAATCTCCAACAATTGCCAATTCTGAATAAGAAAAGAGAAAGAATTCTTCGTTAGCTCGAGATTTGCATGCATTTTTCTTTTCTTCTTCGAAGCCGTCACTCTACACACTCGATGATATAGTTTTCGGAATATATAAGGTAGGTTTAGTAACCCATTGACTTTTATACCTAAATAAATACATTCATGGATGATTTGGCTAACAAATCAAAGGATAATATTTAATAATTGATTTGTTAGAATAGAAAATGAACCATACAATTATCGAGGCAATACTTTAGATTGTTATTAAAATTATTGAGATTATATTATGTTGTTATCCAAATAAACTTATGACAAATTTTGTTACGGTATACGATGAATAAGGGAAGGAAAAAGTCAGACTTCATCCGTCTCAATTTAAAGTACTATTTTTATCATTTTTGTCTGTACTATTTTAAAATATTTATTTCTTATTTTAAAAAAAGTAATCTTACATTAATACTAAAATATTCTTTAACTTTCATTTAAATTACAAGTATATCGTTACACATACAAGTAAAATGATAAAAATGTAAAAATCTCTTGTACATTTCCACTGACTAATAAAATATTATTATTTCTTAATGTATTACCTAACTTCAAAGGACCTTTTGATTTGAGACGTAGGAAATGCAATAATACTAATAGTTCAGTAGATGTATAGATTTTTATTTTATTTATTACTATTATTATTATTATTATTTTGCAATTTTTCCCGACCATACTAAGAGGCGTCAATTCTATCATTATGAGTATGGTAGATTCGCCTAACCGTCTAGATATTCATTCAAAGACGCTCTACTTTCACTTAGATGATGAATGTTCACTTGAAAAAAAAATAAACTTTGATATTTGCTGGCGTCTCATAGATACTTGACACTAGACCGTTCAATTAGAGACATGTATAAAATCCAAACTTATGGGCGAATTTTCCTTAAAAATTAGCTTTTGTATACAAATTTCAGTATTGATTTTTTAAGTCATATAATATACAATGACAATGTATGTCATAATTAAAATATTTAGATGGTTTTTCCATGAAAATACGAATAATATATATATATATATATATTAGAAAGACATGTTAATTTTTCGAATGATCACTTAACTCTAAAAAATCAACACAAACATCCTTAAAAAAAAAAAAAAAAGAAATCTCATAGCCCTCCCTTACGTACAAGTATAGATAAAAGATATTTTGAAAATCACAAAATACTGTTATATTAAACAATTTGAACTTTGTCTCCTCGCACAATTAATTAAATAGAAAAACATTAAGGCTCACATTGTATGCATATAACTTCACATCATTCTTACCTTAAAAAATACTCATTATTGATTGAAACACACTCTAAATCACAAATAACGTTGAAGGGATTTAGGACTTATATACTTAAGAACCCTAGCCTCTATTTTATTAATAAAAGCATATATATTAGTATAAAAAACTCCTTATATTAGTATAAAAATTTGTATATAATACATTTTTCCATTCAAAATAATGACAAAATGACTCACTTATTGTGTCGTTGATCTTCCAAAATCAACATTCTTTTTTTATATTATATATATTTTATGCAATTGTCAACCACGTAATATATGGATGTTTGATTCTTAAAAAGTTATACTAAAGTTTTACTTAATTTCTTAAACAATATTGGGAAAAATATTAATAAAATTAATAAAAATATTGGATTTAAATGCTAAAAATATTATATAATTTTTTAAAAAATTATATAATATTAAAATTATTCGAAAATTTGAAATTAGTGACATTTAAAAATTTGAATAATTGCAATAAACTTGAATTAATACATTGCCCCAATGATTTTTCGTTTTTGATGTTTTTGTCAAATGGTTAGTTGAATTGAGATTGAAAATGAAAATGATAAAAAAATAAATAAATGTTGAAATTCAATAAATTTTATTTTGTATTTGTCGAGATAAATTATTGATAAATTTAAATATTATAATTCTAAATTTCAAAATTTAGATAATAATTAATTAAATAATACTCTCCCCGTCTCAATACAATAGTCTTATTTACCATTTTTGTCCGTCCAAAAACAATAGTTTCATTTTCATAAATATTCATATTACTATAAAACTACCCTTACTTTTTCATTATTATTACACAATCGTCACTACTTTTTACACTAATACAATCAAAATGGCAAAAAAGTCTTTTACCCGTATTTTTTTACCAACTGTCAATATAATATTAATATTCCTTAAATTTCGTGCCAAATACAACCCGGACTATAATTTTGGGACGGAGAAAGTAATTTTTTTTATGATTTTTATTGAAGGTAATAGATTTGTTTGATAA